AAAGGATTTTAAAACTGGGAAACAAGCCTTTCATTATGATTTATGTCAAAAATGTACCTTATAGATTGTGTGATGAGTATTCATGTTTGAATTTCATCTTCACCATGCTAATTTGATATCTAAACCTCATGCAAAAGGTTTGCATTGCAAAGTGATACAAAAAAGGCTTTAGTGTATTACCATAATTGGTATTTTGAAAATGATTTGAAATGATCTTTTGAAAACCTGATTTGACTTTTAAATGGTTTTATTAAACCAAGAGATTCGAGAGTAGGTCGGTTGTCACTTTGGTTAAGTGTGACCCTTATGCATAAGTGAGCTTTAGCTAGAGAACCTTTGGGTCACCGACGAGCTGTTAGATATGGTTGGGGCCATGGTTTGTGATTGTACGTGGCTAGGCCACTAGTGATACATGTGGTTGCGACTGCCTGATTTCTTCGATGTCGGCCAACATCATTAAGACTGCCATAGCTGTGGGGATCTGGTGGAGTGGAGCTCCCGGATGTTATTATGTGGAAGCGGGTCCACAAGCTTTATTATTCTATTCATACTCGAGCGTGATATCTTTTTGGGTTTTCACAGACATAGTTTTTCGCATGGTGAGAAATAACTGTTTTCCCACAGCTCCTTTATTTATATGATGACGTTGGATTTTAATTCGTCACGAACGAGGTGATTTATGGATTTGCTTATAAACTTTGTTAATGATGGATTCCATGGGAGCTCCCGTGACGATATTAATTGTTTTAAGCTAGTATTTAAATGGTTTTGATGGTAGAAATCTTACATGAAATGGTTTGATATTTGATATAAATGCCTACTTTGCATTAACTTACTGGTTTTACATATAAGACACAAACCTCCCTTTTGAGTTAATTTGTTTTTATATATTCTTATATTTTTAATATTCAAATTTTTTGCCTTTAGCTTGTTTTCCATCTATGCCCTACTCATGAGGTTGATGATCATTGCGTCTGTGAGACTCACCCTTTTATTTCCTTTTGCAGATAAGTGATTAGCTTAGGTGCATTGCTTATCACATTGAGACTTGCTACAACATAGGTAATGGCATCTCTTAGACTCCCACTCTGAGTTGGTCTACTGCCTAGAGGTCGTACCATGTCGAGTAGTCAGACTCATAATGATTAATAGTTGTGGAAATATATTTGTTAAAAACTTAATGTTGTGTAATGATTGTCACTTATTAAGTTGAATATGTTGTGTAGTTATTAAACTGGATTATTGGTATCTAAATGTCGTGATTTAACTATTGTTTTTACTTGGTTTAAATTAGCTATGGCGTTAAAATCGTGAGTTGAGTTTAAATTGTCTAAAAGTTTAACTAAGGCCTGTTCGGGACTTGGCAGGTTTACTCGTAAGTCTCGGGTGCCAGTAACGATCGAAGGAAGAGGTCGTTACATTGTCGAGATGGTATATGATAGTGCAATCATAGTCTTGAAGCAACTTGATCTATCGATGTTGCCTAAGATTAAGATCTCTCTGTTCAAAGATATACTTAAGACTCTTATG